AAGGGAGGTGAGGGCTAGCGGATTTGCGACCGATAAAGATGTCATTGCTGCGGTGCAAAATCGGTCACAGATGTCATCCAAAATTTTTTTCCGACGGAACAAAAAACCTGTGAAACGGTGGGAAAATTACATAAATGTCTCCGGAGATTACGGCGAAAGATTAAGTATCTCTCAGTCTTCTGTCATTTGCCCCTGTAGTTTTTAAATTTCCGTCGTATAACCAGGTAATCGCAAGAGCATACGACTTGACGGCGCAGTTCGGCGACGGGGGGGCACTTTCTTTACTCCAGGTATCGGTTTGCATACTTTACCTGATGAAACCTGTGAACTCCTGTGAAGCTGGAGCAAGCTCATCGAGCCACAATGGTGAAACCTGTCAACTCACGAAAAGGCTCTCTAGATGGGTCGACACGTAATGAGAAGTAGCAAAAGTGGGAAATGCCCCCCCCCTCCTCCGTCGTGGAAACTTGACAGCTCCCTAACTACAACACTCAATAACGCAATGAAAAAGGTTGGGCGCCGCACGGGTAAATATGTTACGCCTACATGGCGATCAGGAATACCCATTCCGTCTATATACCGAGGCCAAGCATAGCGAGATGGGCTCTAACTGCACCTTCCAGGACACACCATTCACAGTATTTTGATTTACGAACTCAGATGTGTCGGGAATGTGATTGGAACTAAACGAAGACTTCTGACGAGGGTGTGCCTGGATTTGATGTGTTTGCCTTCCCGGGTACTCATTCAACACCTTCTCCTGAATTTGCCCCTTTTCTGCTCCGTTGATTGTTCCTCTTCGGTATCAGTAGGCGTGGAACAAACCCATCATCGGCCTTTTTCCCACTTCTTCTCCTCTTCTTCTTCTCCCTAGCGTTAGTCTCGCATCCGGGTAATTACACCATTCGAATCACCTTCCTCATGAAATCAACTTTTTTCGATAGTAACAAGAGAGAAAATTTAGAGTAAAATGGGGGGAAAAAATTACACGAAATCATGAAAATGCCGTATTATTTGTTTCTTATTTGATTATTCGTACGCAGGTCACGACACCCTGTAAGATCTGAGAACCACTGCTAAGCTAATCGGAATGCCACTGCTTCTCATTCCTCTCTTACTATGATTATTTTTGCCTCTGATTGGCAGCATTTGCCTGAAGACACGATTATGAGCTGGAGCGGTTGGCAATTTTGCGCTTATCTGACGCTATATTTTTCCCTTTTCTCTTTTGTGGCCTAGATGAGATTAGTGAGTCGATCATCTTAATGAGTTACACCGACTCAGGGTTCTCATTTGAGAAAAAGCTTCTAGTGCCAGTTTGACCGAGTTGTTCAAGAAGAAATGCATCATTTCGGTGAATGTTCAGGAATCGATCTAGATCCACTCTCTATGGCCGCTCTTCTGATGGCCGTCGGATTCTCTGTCGACTTCACCAGTCATCTTGCTTATCACTACTACAAATCAGAAACAAAAAGTAGGCAGAACTTCACATTACAACAGTCCTCCAAATATGGGGAATACATTTATTTTTATATCAGGATCCTACTCTGCGACTTGAAGAAACGCTCACGAGTATTGGCTGGCCGTTGGTGCAGGTGCGACTCATTTTTTTTATTATGCATATCAACCAAACGAATCCACGGACAGATGGAGGCTCCAGTGGTAACGTGTCGCTGCCTGCAATGCTTGGCAGCATCCCATTATATCCTTTGAACTTAGGTTTCCATACGAGCAGGGGGAAACTACTGGCTGCTAAATCGGTGGCGGTAACACACTTGGGCGTAGCGATTTCGGCACAAATGCATGGAACTAGTACCCGTACTAGCACGTAATGATTTGATGTTTCACGTAAAACGTTGACGACGGAGAAAGCTGCATGTGCCATTGAAAATAGCGTCTCATTGCACGCCCTGTCGTCAATAACACGATATCTGTAAGAATAATAACATCCACCTCTCAATAGCTAAACAACCGCATCACCAGAAAACTTTCGGAAATGAAATGGTTGTAATGAAATGGTATGCGACGGTGGGTAGCGCGTTGCCTTCGCCATGAAGAAGGAGTGTCCCTCCACCCCCCCCCCCCCCCAACAGCGTCCGGTATTTTTGGTAATCGCGCGCGGAAGCGACAAATCCTCTGTACGTGACAAGACTGCCTTGTCCACATGGGCCGCGTCTGCACTCCAAATGAATGCAGAGTGTGCCTCATAAGGCAAGGTGCTATAGAGGGTTGTGTTTTGAATGGCGTGTCGTGAACTCGCATGGATTATAGGTTCCATAACACGTCTCCTCTCCTATTGCAGAATGTGTCACTATTCCCAACTAGTTTTTCCATCAAGTTAAAAGCCAAGAGCCAGTGCCCTATAGTTCACTAGACGTTGAGAATTCACTAGTCAATTTAGGTTGGAGTATCAACGATTATCGCAATCACGCCGTTGACACTGAAGCCATCGTATCTCGTGATGGTATTCTTCAAAACAATTGTCGTTGTGTGCTCACTGGGGATGTTCCATGGACTTGTCGTCATGCCATCCATTCTCACTGCTATTACACAATGTAGAGGAAAATGTAAGTCGATAGAGCGCTGATGTTATTTTTAATATTTCATAATGCGGAATTCCATTTCGGGTTTTACAGCATTACGAGCCCAGTTGTTGAAAAAGGGTTTACACCTACATAATTAGTAGTCGGGTGGCGTCGCAGTTGTTTGGCTTATATTAGACCAGTAACCCTTCACTATGCGGATGAGTAGCCGCGAACTAGCGTCTGACTGCTCCGCATCGATAAACGTTGGCCGGTTACAACTGCTGATTTGATCACGCCAAGGTAAAACCTGATTCGATCCTCACATCAGTGCAGCGGTCAGCAGTGAAGCGCGGTCGACTGATTAGCTCGAATCGTGAAGTGTGAACACAAAATGAAAGGATTGCACTCATTCACAGCAATGATTCGCTCTGGAGTATAAAGTGACGAATGAGACCATCATACCTCTAATGCTGCGACGTTATCCAGTATTAGTTTATAGCATAAGTGTGGAGCGTTAGTTCCGACTCGTGGCGAGTCCCTCAAAAAGCGCCGCAAGCGGGGTGACGTGCACGGCATTCACATCAGGACCAATTCCATTGAAGTAGCCATGCTTGCTGCGTGTCTGCGTCTGCGTTTCTCAAGTAGACTAGCACACTATGTGACTGTGTCTATCTTCAACTAGTCAATAATGCTCTGCAAGTGCGTGGAAGTACTAGTGCGTGCCATGTTCCAGAAATGATGCTGCCCAACCTATGGCACAGCTTCCGTCGGTGACTCGAAAGCTAAGACTCTCTAACGTCAGTTAGCTTTTGTAGCTAATTGACGTTAGAGAAGTAGGCACATGAGAGAGTGAACACACTCTACCACGTTGCGTAGATTATCTTGAATCCGGAAGCAGTAAGCAGGGAGAAAGATGTGTATTATCAGAGCTAACACAACAGTAAACAGTTTCTGTGGCCCTACGAGGTCATGTTTTGGGAGTAAAGCCAGATCTGTTGCCCCTCAGGCAAGGCA